CCTGACCTTTACCCTGACCTTTACCCTGACCTTTACCTAAAGTTAATTCACCTCATTCTTCTAAACTGAGGCTGTGTCTGAACGTCCACCCTAACCCCTAGTCCCTCCATCACTATATAGAGCGGGGACTTTAAAGTGAACTTTATAGTGAACTCAGTTAACTGACCATTCAGACAGATTATCACTACTTTTCGCTCCTCCGTTGGTCACATGACCCGCCTCCAACACACGGTGCCTGCACCATCTTCGTTAGTGCAGGCCGACGTGACAGAAAATCCTATAATGCTTTGGGAGGAGAGCTCTCCACGCAAAGCATTCTGGGATTTATCTGTTTGTCTAGTGACCGTGGATGATCGCTACTTTTCATGGTACACATTCAGACGCTCGTCTATAATGGCGTTACCTGTAAACAGTGCCCTATATAGCGGTTAGGCGGACGTTCAGACACAGCCTGACTCTATCGTTAAAATGGAGGTCTGCCACATTAGGACCAGGCTTTGGTCCCCATAAGGCCTGTTAGTCCTCAGAAGATTAGTAAATGAACCACAGACGGTCCTAAATAGGTCACATAAACACACACAGTGTCGTTCAAACAGTTTCTCTCCAAACTTCTCCTCTAATTTAAAGTTGAACGATTTTCAGATATTTATTGATCATCAGATCTAGGAGCTGATTGGCTGTCTGGACGTCCCAGAACCAATCAGTGTATAGACGTTAGGATTGGTTCCAATCAAGCTGATTGGTCGTCTGCAGCTCAGAAATCCTCCCAGTCTGTTTTTTTTCCCAGTCTCTCAGCTGTTGCTGTTTTTACCGTCCCAACACAGGAAGAGGAGTCTCCTCTTAGGGAATGTCACTTCCTGCTTGCTGCAGCGTCAGCGCTCTGCACTTCCTGTTTCACAGATGCTTGATGTTTTTGAGGAGCCGACGGCGGATTGGTTGATGCCGCTCCACCTACTGCCTTCTTGTTACCATTAAATTAGTGTTGTTCAGCTTGTTTCAATAAATTATTTCTCTTTTTCTTGTTATTAAATCTTATATCCATTTTTTTTATTTATACCTGGAGATTCTTTAGGCTGATATTTCTTTTCCTTCCTCCATTAAATATTTAAAAATGATACAAAACTTAATTTAAACAAAAATAAACCTTTAATTACAAATTAAACTAGACATTAACAATAGATAGCAGATGGCGGGAGGGAGGGGTTACTATATTCAGGCAAAAATGGCCGCTCCCAGACTCAGTGATCGCCACGAAAATTATATTGTTTTATTTTTTTAATGATTACCGCTAAATTAATCACTGCAAACGTATTTTACGTATAAATATTGATCCATTGATTATTTCTTGCTAACCGGACTTTTCCTTTAAGAAGAAAAAAGTTCCTGTTCTCCGATAGAATCAGAACTCGGAGCTGATTGGTTGGAACTCTGCTGCAGGCGCCACCTGCTGGTGGTTAACAGTAATGTTTCAGGACCAGAATCCCGTTGATCTTGGGTCCAATCTGATGAAGATCCAGAACCTTTCAGCTGGTTTCAGGTGTTCTGGTCAGAAAAGCTGATCCCGTCTTTCTAATCCGGTTCTTTTCATTCCATCACCTGGTTTAGTTTTCTGTCATTAACCATAAATTTCGCTCTGAGATTCTGGAGCGGCTCGTATTCGGCTTGCAGGCGGAACCAGTCTGCTTGGCAGAACTCTGCGTGTGTTCAGCTCCAGCTGCTGGAGGATCCGTCCCTGAAGATCTGGAATGTTTTCCCGTCTCTTGGAATACTCACTCACTTCTCTGACTTGGGGTTGAAAGTCCAGTTTCAGGAAGTTAGACGCTTCTTGGACTTCCTGCTGGATCAGGATCCTTCCAGCCCGACGTGGTTCTTGGCTCGGCCCCTAAAATGACATCATGACGAGTCTCCTTCCTCCTTTTGTGTTGGGTGATGTCATGCCTCTGGGGCGGTGCGTTCAGGGGCAGTGGGAAGCTCCCCCGTTCCATCTGGGACCAAGCCACTCCTTCATGACTCCTTGACTGGACGGTTCTGACCCAAACCGTGTCTTGAATATGTATACTCTGAATCAGAACTCCATGAGCCCATTTGAATCAGTTCAGAACCGGTTTTGGTTGAGGCTGCGGTGACTCGTTAAGTCCAAACATAACATGTCATCAGTCCAGTCTAAGCCTTGAACCTGGGTTCTGCTGGGTTCTGGATAAAATGGTTCTGCTTTTGGATGCGGTGGTTCTGGTGTCTGAGGAACATGACGTTTTGGATCAGAAAGCTTTGTGTTCGGGTTAGCTTGAAGACCGGGACAGGTACCACAAATGGTTCTGTCAGAACTCAAGTTAGTTTGAATGACAGAACCAGAACCTTTTTTGGGTTTGGACTCCATGATTCTGGGACATGAAGTTTGGGCCAGGTGGTTCTGGATCAGATGGTTCTGGATCAGGTGGTTTTGGATCAGAGGGTTCTGGGTCAAAGGGTTCTGGATCAGATTGTTTTGGATCAGGTGGTTCTGGATCCGGTGGTTTTGGATCGGATGGTTCTGGATCAGGTTATTCTGGATCAGGTGGTTCTGGATCAGGTTATTCTGGATCAGGTGGTTCTGGATCAGATGATTCTGGATCAGAGGGTTCGGGATCAGGTGGTTCTTGATCAGGTTATTCTAGATCAGAGGGTTCTGGATAAGATGGTTCTGGATCAGATGGTTTTGGATCAGATAGTTCTGGATCAGGTGGTTCTGGATCAGGTTATTCTAGATCAGAGGGTTCTTGATCAGATGGTTCTGGATCAGATGATTCTGGATCCAGTGGTTCTAGATCAGGTGGTTCTGAATCAGGTGGTTCTGGATCAGGTGGTTCTGGATCAGGTGGTTCTGGAACAGGTGGTTCTGGAACAGGTGGTTCTGGATCAGGTGGTTCTGGATCAGGTNTCTGGATCAGGTGGTTCTGGATCAGGTGGTTCTGGAACAGGTGGTTCTGGAACAGGTGGTTCTGGATCAGGTGGTTCTGGATCAGGTGGTTCTGGTTCAGAGGGTTCTGGATTTGGTGGTTCTGGAACAGGTGGTCCTGGTTCAGGTGGTTCTGGATCCGGTGTTCCTGGATTAGTTCAGGGACCAGAAATGGACCTTTTCCAGGAGAAGCTGAGATTAAACCTTTCAGATCGGAGTCCTCCATGATTGAGCATCGCTGCAGCATCCCTCTCTGTCACCATGGTGACGGGACAGACGCTGCTCTCCTCTGTGCTGGTTACCATGGTAACCAAGGACAGGTGGTGCTCCAGGTCCAGTTAAAGAGAGAGATCCACGTGACAGAGATCCAACGGAGCGGTTCTGATGTTCTGTTCTGGGTCTGATTCAGAAAGAACCTTGAGGTTCTGGAAAACCCGAATGCTGCAGGTCCAACGGGCTGATCTGAACCAGAACCTTCTGTCTGAGGGTTCTGTTTCCACCAAGCCAGGAGCAGAAACGGTCCGATCCGGTTCTTCTAAAAGGACGGATAGACGGAGAGGAAAACGGAACCATCTCCTGATGTTTTCCAGCTGAGAGGGAATCCAGCTGGAAGCGTTGAGGTCGGGTTAAAGCCGGTTTCTGTGAATGAATTAAATCTCGGTTCCTCAATGAACAGAACATCAGAGTTTCCGTTTAATCCATTAATTACGGCCTCTTATGAAACACTCGGATCTAACGGCCATTAACGGCAGGTTTTATCTCCTAAAATCCTGGATTATCTGTCCAAACTGCTCTCCTTGTCTCTGTAAAACCCTGGAAGTTGGTCCATCGGTCTCAGCAGCTGTCCGACCCAGAAAAACCGCCGACCCCATCTGAACCTGTTGAAAAAGGTTCTTTGAAGCGTCTGGCTGCGGGACAGGAAGCTGGTCAGATGGAGCTCCGTCCAGGACCAACCTGGTGGAGGCGTCTGGGGACCTGAAACCTGGAGGTCCACCTTTCAGCTAGAGAAGCACCCAGAGATACAATGGGCGGCTCTGAACGGTCTAGTCAAAGTCTAGAACTGAATCAGCCAAGTGGATAATTCTGGAAGCAGATGTTTGCTATGTGTTCAAAGCTGCTGGAGAAAAACCCCAGCAGACCTGCAGCACTCCGCACTTTTTAGATTTCCGTCAGTAGTAAATGTAGAAGACCTTCTTCCTTCCAGTTAAAGTGGAAGGTTTTCCATCTCTCCACCGAATTCCCCCCAAAGAACTGCTGTGGTCCCATGAAGTTCTGGTTCTGTTAGGAATCCAGGTGAATTTCATCCTGGTTCTGTTTCATCAGAGGAACCACATGGCCCGGTTCTGTTAGAATCCAGGGATCAGCTCGGTCCAGGGACCGCACGGAAAACCCAGACTGCAGAGATGCTAATGGTGCCTCTGATGGCCTAGTCAAAGTCCAGGCATGTTTTATTTGTTAATAAAGTCGGCAGGACCTGGATCAGAACCTCAGGGCGACCTGAAGAAACTTTTCCACTCATCATCCGATGGAAAATCGCCCTGCAGGAAGTTTGTTATCATCAGCGGGATCTATTCAAATCATTGGATTTGGGTCCAACTGAAGGATGCGGTGGCGCTGCCTGGCAGTCAGAGTTCAGGGCACACAGCGGCTCTCACCTGTCCGATAAGAACCAGGAAGTGGGTTTGTTTCCATCCAGCTGATAACATTAGGGAGGGAAATCTTCTTCCTCTGGACTCTCAGATGGGCCGGATCAAACCGGAAAATCTGGGGAGGATTTGCATCTTCATCATCAGGTGAGGAAGAGTCATTTAAAGGGCCGTTACGTCAGGGAGGAACACCTGAGGAGTTAGAACTGCTGCGAGGTTCTGAACATTTCGGATCTCTGTTTTTGCTCCTTCTGTTTGGGTTTTTGGTTCTGTTTATCCAGACGGTTTGAAGTTATACTTCCCCTGAGTCCGTCTTTCTCTGTGGTTCTGTTGGATCCAGACTGATCCAGGTTCTGGGTTTGTGTCTTGCAGCTGTGAATGTTTTTGGTTCTGGTTGGTTCTGATGGTCTGAGACTGATCCAGGAGTTTTTAATGAACCCTTTGTTTGGTGATTAAGTTCAGAAAGAATGATTTGGATACTCCTGCGGTCCCTGATTTCCCGTACAGAAGCGTTAGAAGGCGTGCTGCCTCCCTGTGACGGATAACGCCCCCCCACTGGGTCCGGATCCGCTGGACTCTGCTTCCTGTTGTTTCCTGAGGTGAGACGGGAGGACGGATGCAGAGGAAAACAGGCTCCCAGCTGCTGGGGACGGCCCGGAGGATGAAGCGGAGGTTTTAGCGGTTGGTGCTGTTCAGCTTGGTGTGGTTCTGTTACTGACCCGGAAACACCGGATTGGTACCGGGCTGATCAGGGATCCAGTAGAGTCCTCTGGGATCAGATTTATAGTCCAGACTTCCACCTAAACCAGTAGCAGGTGGATCAGACCAGTAAGGTCCGAACCAGGACCAGGGTTGGGATCAATGGGAGATGAGTCCATCACTATGATTCAAATCTATTCAGTTTATTTCTATATTTCCAATTCACATCACGTCATCTTAAGGAACTTTATGGTTTGATGTATATAACAGAGGAGATAATTAGAGATCCAAGCTGAGGAGCTGG